TATAATAGAGCCGGAATTTTTTTAGCGTACGTCAGCGTGCGGCGCGTGCAGATCATTACTGCGAGTAGAACGCAAAATATGTCGCGCTACAAATTAATAAAAAAATTAATGAATGATAATACGTTATAGCAATCAATGAAGAGATGAGGAAATTAGTTATAAGATTTTAATTTGTACGGAAATCTTCCTTCTGTGTAACGTTAATTTTTTTTATCTACGAATTATCCGTAACGTTCATTAAATTTCCAAAGACGTCGGTCTTCGGAACTGATTTCAAGGAAGATCGGGAGGCAGACGTATATATATATATATATATATATCGTTTCGTCCCACATTTCACGATGTACCGCAGCATGAACGGGGCCGCGGAATCAGCTGAAATCCGAGCGAATGCCTAGCGTGATCGAGCGTGTAATTAAAAAAGAGCGCGATAATAGTAGCACGGCAGAAGTCGCACAAAGCGATCGAGCACGCTATTAAATCATGTAATTGGCTCGATTAATAGGCGGGAAACGGTTTCCACTCGCGCGAACGTATCCGCTATAATCTTGCACGGCGAAAGACATCCTCCGCAGGTCTTCGGAGCGACTTCAATCTCGACGCGAAAGAAATCGGCTGCTTAAGTCGTCGATAAATAAAAGGTTATTGCGCCCCATTCAGCACGCGAGTGGCGGACCCTGCGGGGACTCCCGTAAGTGGGACAGCTTTACGCAAGTTTTTATATCTCGGGCATTGTCACGGGTCTCTCCCTCGGTACCATTTCGCGCGAGACCCTACCTGCCACGATGCCGTTCCATGGATCTTCCTTTAGGCCGGCCATTGATATACGCCGACCGTAAAAGCGCGCTGCCGGTACGATAATACCGCGCAGAGGAAACGGGCAGAAAGGGGCGAGAAAAGGAACGAGGGAGCGACCGACCGAGTGCAGATCCGCTACGATGATGGTTGCGGCGACGGCATAAATAAGAGTCGTTGGTACGTGCGCGCGTATAACTGTTCCCGAAGTGTGTGTACTCGCCGTCATATACCCCGCTTACCGTTGTCTCGTCTTCGTCGCCTGGTGAGAACCGCCAGAGGCGTCTTCTTCGGCGCGAAGATAATGGGGACGCGTCCGTGTACGTGAAATTCTCTTTGTACTTAAGAGCCACGCAACATAGACGTTGCCACAGAATCGTTCGAATCAATTTTTCACGCTATTTTCGACTTCGTGATCAAAGAAGACACATAGCGATCAACTCAAGGACATTGTATTTTGATTTAGCATTTTACGTCGTTTTAATTTTGCTAACAGCTGATGAATTATACATGCTGCTGTTAATGACACGGAATAATCGTGAGAAGTGTGTTAGTGGTGTGGTTTTGTGGGAGAAGTTTACAGTCCAAAAACTGAGATTGAGATGTTACGGAATGCGAGACGATGTTTCAGAAATAAAACCACTTTTAATAAAAAGTTTGTATTGAGGAATTAAACATTTGTAAAAATTACTGTAAATATGTTGATCTTGAAATTAATTGAAATACAATATTGGCTAGAGATGCAAATTAGTTCTTAAAATAGTTCGAGATACGACTTTATCTCAGATAACGAAATTTTTAACGTTTGATAATACTAAACTAAACGGTAATATAACATTGCTATTATCGTTGACAAGTTTCATCTTTCAGAAGAACAAGGTGTTAAGCGTTGGCTCATTATCGCACGCAGTGTTTGCACGACAGCTTGTCGAAGTATAGTCATTTACGACATCGATGAATTCGTTATTGGTCGACAACTGTTTTTTACCGAGTTATTTTTTCAGATTGAGAAGTAAATAGAAATCGCAGATATGTGGCAAATTTAATTTTTTCATTCAACTCGTAAATTTTGACCATTGCGACAGTTGAAGCGTGAGCTGGTGCATTATCAAAAATTACTGAGAGCGTCGTTTTGAATATTTATCGATCGCCCCACGTGAGGTGAATTGCCAGCGCGATATTTTGACGATTAAATTTAACGGACAATCTGCTACATAATAATTACGAGAATTTATCGATTCACCTTGCGGATCTTTAGAGCGCGGTAACGCAACAATTCACCATTTCCGAAGACAGAAGCATTCAGTAGGCTCGGCGAGAAATTAAAAGATTATTAAGCAGATGCGTACGCGCGCGTATCGCGAGAGTACCGCTCAGTAGGAGCTGTAAGAAGAGACGAAACGATCGTCGTAAGCAGGATAACGAACGTCAAGTCAGATTATCGTATCCCATGGATTTCCGTCAATGCATTCTCCTCTATCTCTTGCCGACGATCTCCAGAATCTTACAAATTCTTTCTCTGTGAGTTTTTCTATCTCTCTCTTTCTCTCTTTTTCTCGCACGAGCGTAAAAGCTTTCAGCGCGAAGCATCAAAGACCGCGGGTGGCAACGCCGTCGGTCGTTTCTCTGTTTTTTCTCTGAAATAAATTACACCTTAATGAGAGGCAACGTGTCGACCGATCGTAAAGGCCCGAGCCGGATGGCGCGTTGGCGCGTTACGATCCCCGTGGAGTTTCCCGTGAAATTCCACGGGAGTGTGTAACGTTGCCAAAAGCGCCGTTTCTCGAAACCGTTAGTCGAGTTAGCGTTCGTCGCCTTTTAATATTACAATTTGATGCTATCTCGTGCGTGATGCTCTTCAGAAAATAGCCGCGACTGGCTGTGTCTCACAGTTTTACGAGTGTTCTACAACTGGTTATTTACGATTACGAACAAGTTTTAAGACATCACAATGCAAAAACAAAGGTGTTTGTGTGAGAGGATTAAAATTAATTATTTTTAAGAAAGTCACTGAAAATCTCTTGTGGATTCAGTTGAAATCAACTTGCTATTGCCATCTTACAGCTGTGCGTGAAACTTGATCTCCTAACGCAGCAATGTTGGAGTTACTACAGTCACCAAAGTTTGGTCAGATAACTTTCGTGCTGGAAACTATAAGCACGTGTCTCCAAAAGACGACTTAAAGACGACTTAAAAACGTCTTATTGTCTTTTGGCATCGTTAACATATTTTTTGGTATGGCCTTTCTATGTTGTCTAGAAAAAATCTATATCAAAGAGCAATGATATAATTGATCGTCGGTAATTAATTCCCAAATGATTTGTATATAATCAGAGAGAAGACTGAGAATATGATCAAAACCATATCATATAAAAACCTATAATAGCTTTTCTGCCTTGTACGCTAGCGCTATGTCCACGGGTGGTGCACATTGGCAACTACGTACTCATGTTCACGAGCGACTAGTCGGTGTGCGGAGAAAATATTACAGTTTCACTGTTTTTTTAAATGGCTCTGACCGCTCTCAGTTTTCTCTGTGATACAATATATTTAATTGTGTGATTTTCACAATTACTGAACAATATTTTTAGTGTTCCGACGTACTCGTTAGATGGCAGCAAAGCACACAGTTTTTTTACCTTTTCAGTTTAGTAATCTCCGACTTATCGTATTCTGAAAAGGTGGAAAATACCTTATAAAGTACAAGTTTATTATATACAAACAATACCTCAAATAATAAAACAGAATTGTATTACTCTCTCTCTCTTTTACATCTGCGTTTGACTGTCAATAGTTGTATTATATCCAATTTACAATTAAAAGTTTTATTATTAAAACAATCAATAGAGGATATTAAAACAAATGATAAAAATTTGCTGCAGTTATCTTAATTGCTCTATTTATTTATTGTAGTAGAGGCTAATTGTTGTAAGATAGACACAGATTGTTATGTACATGTAATAAGCTCAATTTGTATGATTTTACAAGTATCAGGATTTTTATGTATAAACAATTGTTTTAAGAAACAAGAAAATAAATTAATATGCCAGAACGTACACAACAAGAAGAATAAAAACAAAGATTGAATATAAATACGTGTGTGAAAAAATATCAAGAGATAATTGTTATTCTAAGTTTTATGTGTCACAAATGGCTGCAATAAAAACGCGAAGATATTTATCAAGGACTTTATAAACACAATTTCAAATGACTGCCACGTCTGACAGAGAGATCCGTTCTTGGCTTCACGCCGAAGAAAACCTTTCGAACACAAACTCCGCGCTCACAAGCTTTCACCAGAACAGGCTACAGCTCCGGGCTACGATCAGGTCTCTTCGTCGCTCTTTTCGAGATCGGTTTTTGCTGGATTCTCTTTCTCCGTTCTTCTCCCACTCCGTTTTAACCATCTCGCTCGTCTCTCGCATACTTTCCACCCGCGACCAAGACGAGAGACCGACCCGCTTCTACAGTATCGATAGATCGAAATCACACTGTCAACGCGAGCGACTCGTTTGTCGTCACCATTTTCTTGAATTGCGTAGCGATCTTCTTCAAGAATATTGTCATTTTTGAATTCCGTAATTACACCTTGCTCGTTCGTCTCTGCCTTGACCTTTCCTTATGAGAATTCGTTTCCAAGGTGTGCAAAATTGTAACGTTCTCCAAACGCGAAATAAGATGTTAAGACAAATAAAATCTGGCAGCGTATCTACATTTGCGAGAAACATTTTGAGGTCGCCGTGGAACTTTAGGAACATTTCTGATATTTGATTTTCTATATATTCAATTATGTTGCGGTGAAAATGATTAATTTACACAAAGTTGTTTTAATTATTACATATACAAAAAAAGTCGTCCAAAGTCATCTACTCTAGTAATCTTCTAATGCGAGCGTTTTTTGTGAGAAAAAACCGTGTATAGAGAAATTATGCAACATTGCATAAATGGGTTGCAGCATCAGCCTCTTTTCACCGGCTGATTGCATAGAAACAAAATAACGATCATCCTGCTCTATAAATATATCGCGCTTTATCCAGTTGAACGAATCTCCAGCCTCTTTCCTCGCCATGAGGAAAGAGACGGCAACGTGGTCGCTCATAAAGTGGAGTGGGAGCGAAAAGGAGAGAGGATCGCCGGTGGTATCGCCGACAGTTTGAAGAAAGAGAAGGAAGGCCGGCCAGGATGGTGGTGATCGGCTCCGGATCCACGAGTGGCAGTCCATGGCGCGGGTAGCCGGTGTGCAGTCAGTCACCAATTCCGCCAGTCGGTTGTAGCCAGTCGGTTGTATCGGGAGAGCAGCTCCGTTCGCGGGGCCCGCTCACGTAGTGCGGCCTCACGCGCTTCGGTTTCCGCTGAGGAAAAACGAATTTGGCTCGTTTTCACCTGTCCGCTCAAACGAAAAATCCCAAACGGCTTTCATTATTGTACCGAAGAAAAGATTCACAAAGTGAGCTGGTTGCGCGCGAACTTCGCAGTAAGTGCGCGGAGTGTATCTCGATATCGAGTGCTGAATAAAGACGCTTGTCTGCTTCGTAAGTGATAAAGTGTTGGCTGCGCTAAGAGTACGAACGAAGAGATTTCTCGTAGAAGGATCCTCACCTCCGTGGCGCGAAACAATATTCCAGAAGAGGCTGCAGAAACCTGACCACGGATGGTTAACGTGAGTATCGCGTAGAGAGTACGTGCGAGAATGCAGTAGGCTTATTGGTGTTTTTCCGCGGTAAATTCTTAGAGAGGTTTCGCCAGTTCTAAAGCGATAAACTGTATGAGTTTCTGTTGCTGTTTTTATTTATCTGTGTTATATATATACATAGATATTATTTATATTTAGAAAAAGGATTCAAAAGAGAAAAAATAAATAAAAAAAAAACATATACAATGAAATTTCATATATAACTTTACATTTATTTTGAAATACGAATAAAAAAAAATAAAGTGTATGTTAAAACAAAGAGCGAAAAATAATTTACGTTTAATTAAATAAATATATAAATATAGTAATTATTTAAAGTTTTCGCTTTATTTTAGGCAAATATAAAATACAAAAAATATATGATGAAGAGATGCATAAAACTTTACAATCATTAACTGATATTTCAAACATTGGCGCCATGTGTCACATGGAAAGATGTCTCTCTATTTTAAATCATCTCTCTCTTTCTCTAAAATGTTTTACTAATATTATATCATCAATTGATTGAAATCGCCTTTTATCTTGTCAGTTTGCCTAGTGCAAGTTTGTGACAGTTATCAATCTAGGTCTCGTTTCGAAAACGCTCTCTGGCCCAGTTTTTTCGCCGCTCGTGCACAAAGGTAGTTTCGACTTACGAAAGGCGTCTCTACACGCGTGCTGCCCACATCTCTCCTTTTCAGCGGATAACTTACAGTTAGCACGGAATTTCTAGCAAGGTGCGGCGCTGTGTGACTAGAATGATTTCTTTGCGTGAAAGTCATCCCGCTCTGTTTGCAACGAATCTGGCTAGTGAAATGGAAACTATCGGATCCGCCGCGTGGCATGCAAACGCGAATGGTAATTCGAGTTGCAAAGACAAATATTATCGTGGTAAAATATTCCAGCACACAGTTTTCACTTTACTTTCGAGTGTGAGAAATCTCGACTTTAAATTACAATAGGCCTCTTTTATAAGCTTGTTAATATTTGACATTTTCCTGACGTGACAAACGTCGATGAGACGTTGTGCACGATTAAAGAATTTATCCATCAATGCTATTCAAAATTACATTGTATTGTCTTGAAAATGAATTAACATCACGAATTATTTTACACATGACGAAATAGCTGCAATTTTAATAAGAGAAAGGAAAGATTATATATATATAAATATATATATATATATATAAATATATATATATATATATTGTATATATGTGTGTGATTTTCTGTATGTTCAAGCCTCAAGGGAATATAATAGGAAATTTTCCACTGCAATGATTTTATGGATTCGTTACGCTTCGCGGCAGCCAACATTTTTTAACACTTTATATTCGTACGTTTGCTCTATCGATTGCAATTTTTTGTTCTATATATACATATATATTTAAAAAATACACGATTCTCATTAGTTCTCAACTCATCAATAAAAGTTTTATTACTCTTAAGAATTTAAGAAAATACAAAATATCCGTCTAATATTTTTAATTTATCTTAAATGTTGTCTGAAGTACTTTTTCCGTATTATCTACGATTTCTTATATTTATTCTCTAACTTATTAACATTTTCAAGCATTAATTTATTTACATGTTAACTCCGTAAAGAATATATTCTGTATACTGTTTAATAATAATAAGCGACTATTATCGCATCAGAAAAAGCAAACTGCGGATAAATAATACTTCCAAGCACTTGTATCTCCCTGTTATTGTAGATAAACTCCGCAATTGTTTTTTAGTACCTTAAGATTACCTTAGATTACTGTAATGTTGCGAACGTAAGCCACCGTGATTGTGAAAGAATTCAAGCGGCCCTGAAGCATTTTTACTTTCGAATGCGTCACTCATAACTACAAATTTCTACCTGCCTTTTCAAACTCCGGTTTAAAGTCCATTGGTTCGGGTCAGTCATCCCCAACTTTTAGGCAAACATACTTAATTCGTGGGTAATATTTCTCTTATCCAACTAATGTTATTCAACAAAACAACAAAATAAGCCGATTACGATATTTATTATCTTTTCGTGACATTTGACATATTGTTGTTGCAACTTCTAAGTTCCTTTATTGAATCTGACATAGAAATTACAAGACAAATAAAATAACTTTGATTGAACTACATTTCATGTTGTTCATAATTGCATTTGATTCAACGCATATTCATTTCGCGTGCAATTGCAACACAAAGACGAATAAATTTCCCGGTACTGCAGCAATTAGCGCATTTACGTCACGAGGTTGCACTCGGTGCACTTTCGCGACGGTCGAATTCGCGCCAGAAGACGATCCGACAGTCGAACGAGGGATAGAACGTAAATAGAAAAGACAAGCTCACCTGTTTCTTCGACGTATCTTCGAACGTCGAAGAACCTCGATCCGGCGCCGATTCTGCCTTCCCGCTGCGGGATTCTCTGCCTCCCGCAAAACCGGGTCTTCTCTCCACGACCTCAAAACACACAAATTACGAACGGCGCAAATGTTGCACGTGTAGGAACATTGATAGGAGAGACCGGTGTCCAGTACCAATGTGTGTACACTGACACGCGCTTGTCACAATACCTGTACATATTGTGGCGTCAGTAGAATTACCAAGGAAAGGATCGTAGAAAGTCGCATTTGAGACGTCATCGTAAAGAGCGTCCTCATTGCCGCGCAGAATTTACCGGCCGCAGACGATGACCCTCCTTTGCCGCGAGCGGCATCGGTCGCAAAAATGCGAACTGAGAGGAAATGCTCTAACCTTTGAAAGATTTATTAATCCGCCACGTATATTACATTGTGTATTGCTGCGTGAAACACATGCGGTTTTTCCACTTCAAGACATGTTGTTTTGAATTTTACACTATCGCGTAGGTGTTGCGGTTTCTCCGGTCGGTTGTGCTGTAACAGTGTTTGCGGTATTTGTTTTTCTTTATATTGTAAAAAGTCGTTGTATATATAATATAAAATATTTATACATAATATTTTCAGTTGTGAGAACCGTGAAAATCAGCTGATCGCAAGAAGCTGTGTTGCTCGTTTGTTTGCTCCGCTTCTTGTTGCTTAGAAGATTGCATGAAGTAAATTTTCTTTACAATTTTTTTTACAACTGAAATCATGTACATCTACAGAATTCGGATCATCAGTTTCTACGTGCTCATTGGCTCACGTTAATTAATTAAAAACTTAATAAATATTGCAAATTTTGCAAAATGATAAATAACTTTTATGTTCAGATTAATCCAGTCTATTTTCACACTTCGGCTGTATCAAAATGTTTCAGACACCCTGTATATACAACGACACTCGATATATATTTGGATGTCGAAGAGTTCGTGAGATTTGTACGCCATTAAATTTGTGAAGTTGCAGAAACGCCGAAGTTCTAGATTCCAAGTCGGATGATACCGAATTTTCAGATGAAATCGTCGAAAGTACTTCGGTGTGAGTATCGCTTGATGCAAGAGGAAGAAGAAATTGCAACTTGTGGCGAGGAATGAGGCGGAGAGAGAAACGATGAACTCGAGACGAACTCAAGGACACCGAAGGATTCTGACTCGTTCTACAGATCCAGTAAAAAAAGCCGAAAATAGAAATCACAAGTTTCAAAAGAAACATCTATTATGTATTTTTTAAAATTAAAAACCTTTGCTCGTTAAGTTTTTTAAACCTTTGTAATATATTATACGTCGGAAATTTGCGCGGTATTGATACTTATCTTCGAACAACGTAATTGAAGTTATTTTTGATAAAAATATTTGTTTAAAATAAACAGAATTTCTTAGATATCAGCATGTGCTTGCTTGTGTACTAAATATAATAATGTGATTTCAAAATATGATTTGTTTTTTACATGCAAAAGACAAAAAAAATTAACATAAAACTTGCAATATTAAAGATCAAAGAGTTTATTAACGTTAACGATTTCTCGGCAACTAAAACGTGATGAATCAATTTGCATCGGCGATTCCGTTAACCTATTAGTCATCGATCTTGGAACGTGAGGAAAGTGTTTCTCGGAACATGAAGATTGTTCAGGGTCGAATAAGTCAATTGTAGGCTCAGGCGAAACTCCACATCGAGATCCGCGACGAGGAGGCTGAGCACGATCGTGAAGAGAGCGGCAACCCCGCTACGATCGTCAGAAAAACGACTAAACGATTCTTTTGCCGGGGAAACTCGACTTGTTGGGCGAGTCTCCGTAAATCAGTATCCGCTCGGAAGAAAATTAGTGTCAGCAAAAGGATACAACTCGATACGCCAACGTGTACAAAGTCGTCGAACGCTAGCGGGATGAAGTTAATCAGCACGCGCTTCGAAGAACACGACAATTTATGACTTCTTGCGAGTTTCCAAGATGGCGTTTGCATTACCAATGTAATTTTCTTCTCGTAAATAACTGCCTTATCGTTCGGTTCACTCGAGCATTTCCGAAGGAGGCTGTACTCTGAAAAGAAAGAACCAATGTGCAACTAGCTCTGAAGCCGGTTTGGCGGAAGTGTCAGATCGCTTAAGTGAAACTGCGAGGTTGATGCAACTCTGTTGAGACCAATACGTGTCGCATTCAGTGATATTTTTAACCTCAATGACATAATGACATTTTATTTATTGCAAAGAAAATATTTTAATCGTTACCTTCTCTTGAACGCCATTCGATTTATTGCTTCCTGAAAGTGGGAAAATCTTGAACTCGCCGAAGGCTATGATGGCACGCATGTAGCTTGCCATCGAGATAAAGCCTCGTCGATAGAAGCCTCTTGGCTAATACACTAGAGCAGAAGTACTCAACATAGAAGTGCACGTACAAGAACGTGCTATATAGACAGTAGACGCGTGCGGAAACTCAAGAGTCGCGGTTCTTGATCGACTAGGTGATAACGCTTAAACGGTTAAAACGGTTACACAAATTTCCGGTATTTGCTAAGGAAGTAGGAGCACAAGTGACTTTGCATTGCGCGATAATCGTTCGAAAGGATCGCAAATAAAAGATCTCACGCGAGAAATTACGAG